AAACCAAAAATTATTGTTATGAAAGCTAAATTAAAACCAATCCCTTATACATTATTCGGGAAGTGATTTTTCTAAAAAAGCTTAGGTGTCTTCTCTAAAATCACTCTCCCAAAATTTATTGAGAAATTTCAAACAATGCCACTTTTCTAGTGTCACTTTTCAAAAATATCGCATTTTCAAAATCTTTGCAAAAATGCCAATTTTTGAAAAAAAAATTCATTATATCATTTATATTTGGATTAACTATGTTGTATTAGAGTTTAGTTTTGAGGGTTTAATGGGTTTTAGGGACTAAAATATTTTTTAGGGTTTATAATTTTAAGATTTAGGCTTTAAAAATCTATAAATAGTGGCATTTTTGCAAATGGACACCCCTAAGTGTCATTTATACAAATCTACAAACCAAAAATGACATTTTTGCAATTTTCCCAAATTTATTATAACATGACATTATGAAAAATGTGGCATGGCAAAATTTATCAAACATTTATCCCACTAATTTAGCACACTAAAACTTATATCCATGAAAACTAATCTCACAAAACTATTTAAATTTAACTCACTAACTCAATAAACTACACCCAGAAAAAATTTTGCGAGAAAGCTAATTATTTTTTATTGTAGCTAGCTCCCTAAAACTTATACACACGAAAATTAATCTCACAAAACTACTAAAATTTATCAGATTTTCGTTTTTCATTCTAAAATTATTGGTAAATTTTAGTTTCTTATTTTAAATTAGTTTAGAAATTAATTAGTGTAATAATAAAATTATGGAACATTTTTATAAAATATAAATTCTTTTAAAATTAATAAGAAAGACTTATAAACATTTTAAAAGAAATTTTGATATGTTTTATGAAAAAAATTTCCAAATTTATAACAACAATATAACTTTTCTTTTGAAATGGTTTTTTTTAAGACGACAGTTTGAAAGTAACAAAAATATTATTTAATTCAAACGTAATAAAAAAAAATTTTAATCCATGTTTTATTTATAAAATTTATGTTTATATCTTTAATGTTTTAAAACTTTAAATAATTTTTCTGTTTTCTAAATTCTACGTAAGATATTCAGACACACCAAATTTAATATAATTTATACTTATGATACAATTCAAATAAATATGAGTTGTACATATTTATTTAACAAATAAATGCTCTTTAAATTTTTCTAAATCATTTCTATTTCTATAGTAAACTTCCTATTATATATATAAATTTATAAGAAAATAATAAAATATCAATATGAATATTTTTACAATTTATGTAAAATTAAAAAAAAAAAGAATCTAAATGTCCAAATTCACTATTGAATCTAAAAAAGCAATATTATCCATAGTAAATATTTTAATTTTAGACATTGTTATTCACGTTGAGCAAAAAAAAAAGGATATTGGTATTCACAGATAGAATAATTCACCGGGTTTATCCAAATGGATATTAAACACAATTGATCACAATATGTTGTGTTTTGTTTGTCAAATTTTCAAGCTTTAAAAGAAACAATATGTCATGTTTTGTTTGTCAAATTTTTAAGCTTTAAAAAAATTTACACACAGTATTAGTAGTTTGGTGGAATGCGTTAACGACAAAGTCGACACTACAACATCATTAGAAATAGAGAAACTTTTAGAAACGACAAAATCTTACTTGGTTATTATTACGATATAAAATTGGATCATGTAACCAATTC